CCATCATCACCACCACCATCATCATCACCACATCACCATCATCACCACATCACCACCATCATCACCACCATCATCACCACCACCATCATCATCACCACATCACCATCATCACCACATCACCACCATCATCACCACCATCATCACCACCACCATCATCATCACCACCATCATCACCATCAGGTTCCATCCACCACCACCACATCACCACCACAACCACCACCATCATCATCACCACCACATCAACACCACGTTCCATCCACCGCCATCATCACCACCATCATCATCACCACCATCATCACCATCATCACCACCAGGTTCCATCCATCACCACCAGGTTGGGATGAGGTGGGACCTTCTCACCATCACCACCAGGTCCCATCTACCATGTGGTCAGGATGAGTCAGGACCTCCCCATCACCACCACCCAGGTCCCATCTACCACAGGTTGGGATGAGGTGGGACCTCCGTGTCATCACCACCAGCACCCAGGTCCCATCTACCATGTGGTCAGGATGAGACAGGACCTCCCCATCACCATCACCAGCACCCAGGTCCCATCTACTACAGGTTGGGATGAGATGGGACCTCCCCATCACCACCACCCAGGTCCCATCTCCCACCAGGTTGGGATGAGGTGGGACCTCCGTGTCATCACCACCAGCACCCAGGTCCTATCTACTACAGGTTGGGATGAGATGGGCCCTCCCCATCACCACCAGCCAGGTCCCATCTACCATGTGGTCAGGATGAGTCAGGACCTCCCCATCATCACCACCACCACCCAGGTCCCATCTCCCACCAGGTTGGGATGAGGTGGGACCTCCGTGTCATCACCACCAGCACCCAGGTCCTATCTACTACAGGTTGGGATGAGATGGGCCCTCCCCATCACCACCAGCCAGGTCCCATCTACCATGTGGTCAGGATGAGTCAGGACCTCCCCATCATCACCACCACCACCCAGGTCCCATCTCCCACCAGGTTGGGATGAGGTGGGACCTTCTCATCACCACCACCACCAGGTCCCATCTACTATGTGGTCATGATGAGATGGGACCTCCATGTCACCACCACCAGATTCCATCCATCACCACTGGGGTGGGGTGATCTGGGACCTCCCCATCACCACCACCAGGTCCCATCTACCACTGGATTGGGATGACGA